ACTATTAGGTATGCGGTATATAATAGGATTTTAACGGTAGTAAAATATTCCTGACACATGAAAGCATATCAACATTGATCACCCCTTATTTACCAGGTGAATATTGTTGTGTGCAAGCTAACCATGTCATCTGATTACAATATAATGATGAACATTCACACCTCATGTAAGTATTTAAAAGTAGTCAAATTTCAGTTTGTCCTCAACATTACAATAAGAATATCATAATTCAATATAGCACAGTAGGTAACTTTTATCCTATAGAAATGTTGCACACAATGAACAATGATCTTACCTCATCTTCACAGTATTCTTTAAGTATTTCCAGTGCATTTGGTGTTAATAAAGGTGCTTCTAATATGAGATGTGAAAATAACCTGTGGAGAATAGACAAATGTTTTGATGCATTTCCAGTATGTGATTCATTGCCAGCATGTGATTCATTGCCAGCATGTGATTCATTGCCAGCATGTGATTCATTGCCAGCATGTGATGCATTGCCAGCATGTGATGCATTGCCAGCATGTGATGCATTGCCAGCATGTGATGCATTGCCAGCATGTGATGCATTGCCAGCATGTGATGCATTGCCAGCATGTGATGCATTGCCAGCATGTGATGCATTGCCAGCATGTGATGCATTGCCAGCATGTGATGCATTGCCAGCATGTGATGCATTGCCAGCATGTGATGCATTGCCAGCATGTGATGCATTGCCAGCATGTGATGCATTGCCAGCATGTGATGCATTGCCAGCATGTGATGCATTGCCAGCATGTGATGCATTGCCAGCATGTGATGCATTGCCAGTATGTGATGCATTGCCAGTATGTGATGCATTGCCAGTATGTGATGTATTGCCAGTATGTGATGCATTGCCAGTATGTGATGCATTGCCAGTATGTGATGCATTGCCAGTATGTGATGCATTGCCAGTATGTGATGCATTGCCAGTATGTGATGCATTGCCAGTATGTGATGCATTGCCAGTATGTGATGCATTGCCAGTATGTGATGTATTGCCAGTATGTGATGCATTGCCAGTATGTGATGTATTGCCAGTATGTGATGCATTGCCAGTATGTGATGCATTGCCAGTATGTGATGCATTGCCAGTATGTGATGCATTGCCAGTATGTGATGCATTGCCAGTATGTGATGTATTGCCAGTATGTGATGCATTGCCAGTACAAATGTATGTATGCAAAGACAATATGTGATGCAAATACAGAATTCTGAAGTCATACAGATGATGAAAGGTTTGCCAGATCTCAGATCAGATAACATTACATATTCAATCTGTCGTTTTAGTATGTGATTTGTAGTATGTTTTATGTAGCCAAATGACAGAGTTGACCATTTTGAAATTGATCATTAAACAAAATAATTTTCATCTTAAATACAATAAGGTTATACTAATATGCATTACTCACCCTTCTCTTGTATCCCTTTCCTTAATTCCTTTCAACAAATCTGTTAAACAATTATCATATCTAATGAAGCTTTGTTCTTTATCAGTAGTTTTTGGCATGTAACCTTGGTAACTACAGTACTCATGAAACACCCAGGAGAATGCCAATTCAGATCTATTTCGTAAGTCTTCAAAAATAAAGTCTCGTAATACTGGTAAAGGAGATCAAATGCATGTACAAGTTAGAAATGATTGACTGTGACATCGATGATAAACATAGCAAATAATTGTAAATCTGATTCAAATCTGCAATCATTCTGGACTTTAGGTTTGACTGTCAGTCAGCCTTTCTAACTAAATGACAAAACAGTGTCAAGAAGTCATGTCATGACATGGCACGAGTCTTTGTTGGTTTAATAGTCAACAAAACTGAAATGAGTCAGCCATTTTGAATCAGACTATGAAACGAACAATATGATGTATAATGTAGTTTGATTGCAATCAGTCAAGGCAAGTCAGAGACAAAATTTGTATTCACCCATATAAAATCTGATCTGAATGAAATACACTATGGTCCCGCCAAGAAACATATAAAGTCAGTCAGAGATATGGCTCAAAGAAATGCATTCATTAAAGCACAATGGCCATCAGACTGCCATTTTTAGTCCAATCTGACAAACAAAATAACATGCATTATGGTACATTACAATGTACATACCAAGTTTGAACGAAATCTGTTGATGCATGATTGAGATCCAGATGCGGAAATCCTTAATTTTGATGAATATTAAACAGTTAAGCAACCCCAATCGGCCATTTTGAATCAGATCACCAAAGAAAAAAATATGCATATATGTGATAGGATGTATATATAAAGTTTGAACATGATCTGTCAGGGCATTCACTATTTAAAAACAAAATGACCACAAAGCAGACATTTCGAAAAAAAAAGTTTAGATGGAAGCAAGGCAAAGTTATATAAGATGGGCAGCTTAGATGGATGAAAGATAGTAAAATAGGTGATGAACAATTTCACTCACAATTTGACAATTCTTCTCCAAACAGTGTCACCAAGCTGACAATGATTTTTGTTCGGACTTCACTTACACCTCCTTGAATTGCTTTTTCTGAAATACAAAGTATATAAAGAAACTGAATGCAAATAGAGTATCACTTGAGCATTGCAACATAACACAAACACCTTTCCCAGTAACATTCTTTGAATTTGCTGTAAACTTTTCAAAGTGTTCACAAGACAACCTACCTCTCCATTAGCCAAATCGGTAAATCAAGATTATGTTCACTTACTTAGCATAGAGCACACTCATTATTTCTTTTAAGTAACTGTGATACACACAAAACTAAACTACTTTTTCAAAGTGTAGAAAGCTATTTGAATTAAACACTAAATATGCTGAGTAAAATCAAGCCAGATTGGTGAGTCAACGATCCTTAACATAAGGCTAAAATTTTGGTGAAAAGTGTGCAGAGCTGGTCAACACACAAAATCATTATTCAACAAGCCATGCATGGCACAGTCCCTGTTAGTTATCGAATTTAAGATATATAGTTTTGTTTATAGTAATATAGCTGGAGTATTACCATGTCAGGAATATGATTATGATGATTGTTTAACATTAAAATGATTGGCATTTCTATCTGATCGTCAAACGAGTACTTGTCCATATTGAGAGATATTGCTCTGGAACAGCATTAACTAAAACAAAATCAGCCGTTTTGAATACATGTATATATCTATAACATGATGTATAATGAATAAATAAAATTTCAACATAATCAGTCAAAGCATGTCAGAGATATGGCTCCAGAAGCCCATTCATTAAAACAAAATGGCGGCCAGTCAGCCATTTTGAATCCGATCTGAAAAATAAAATGATGTGCATCAAGAGCCCGTAATGTCTAATGTATGTATAAGTTTGAACGAAATCCATCCAGAAATGCTTGATATTTGATGATTTTTTTAGCACAAAAATGGCCACCATTCGACCACTTTGAATAGGATCGTCAAACCAATATATCTGTATATCTATCAAATTTGAACATAATCAGTCAAAGCAAGTCAGAGATATGGCTCTAGAAGGCCATTTTGAATCTTATCTGAAAAACAAAATGATTTGTATCAAGATCCCATAAAGTCTAATGTATATACCAAGTTTGAACAAAATCCATCTGTAAACAGCCGAGAAATGCTTGATTTTGATGATTTTCAGATCATGAAACAAATTGATGTACATATGTATGATGTATGTGTGCAAGTTTGAATGTAATTGGTCCAGACATGTCTAAGACACAGGCACAACCACCCGGACGCACAGAGGTCAATCCATAAGTCCTCGTTTTCGGACTGCTAATAAACAAGCCAAGTTTGATTGATATCTGCTGAAAGGTGCAACAGAACTTAAATTCTGAGACAATTCTAAGCTCGCAGGTGGCTCAGACATTGTAGAATCAACTTCTCATTCAAAATGGAACTGCAGCTTATTCATTAGGAAGCGAAGAAGTCAAAAATAGAGTGGGTTATAAATGACTTACTTTCAGCATCAAGTATTCTTCTAGCGGCACCAATAGTTAAACCTTTCAATACAGGTTCTGACAATGGCTTAGTTACTTCTGATAGTTTGAATAATTTAATACGCCTTACACCTTTCTGTGTTGACACCATTGGTATGGGTGTCATGGATGTTTTCTTTTTACTGGCTTCCTCTGGTTTCCGAGTAAGACCACCTAAAAACAGTCATTGAACAAACCATCTTAACTATCCAATATTTATGCCCACAATTCACATCTTTTGCAACTGAACATCAATGTACAGTATTGGTAATACCTATAGTGTATACATACCAACAACAGTTTGTATTCCCTGTGCAGTCTCTGATTGTGAGCTTGTTACAGCAGTGTCAGCAGTTGATGCCTTCAATAAAACACAATGTTAAACTAATTTATTATAAGGAACTGACACAAGTCAAATATGGACATAAACACGTAAAAGTTCAACCAGATAACACAAATGTGTGCCTCAATGATACCCAATCATGATTGCCTATAATATATACTTACCGGTTTGCTTGTTGGTTGGAAACCAGCTGCCACAAACTGTGTTGCCATCATTCGGGATAAATGCAATATTTGTTGATTATTTCCTGCAGATTCTACTGGTGTATAGGTGGCTTGAAAGTGAACAGGCATGGTGTCTGGTAGTGCAACCTACAAATACAAGATAAGTATGATTATTAAGATAGAAATTTCAATGGAAAAACAAGACAAAAACAATGTGAACTGCAAAACAATCCATATAGATTATAGAACCATAGAGATCAC